GCTCCTTCATCCGGCTCAACATGAACCCGGGTCACATTCGTCTGTCAGTAACATGTCGTCCAGATAAAACCCATTTATTCCTCGTTCATTTTACTGTTTTGTGAAACATAGTGAAGCAGAAATTTTGCCTTTGTCATTCTTCAAAGTATATAATGTTTATCCTCATGTTGTTTTTCTGTTCCATATCTACCTTTATACGTATAAATGGTCAAATCTGCACATATATGTCTACACGTCTCTCTAAACGTCTCCTTATAAAGTTTTACATCACTCGTGCAACCATCCTGTGCCTTTTACATTTCTATACAAACAATAGATGTATATTATATACATATTCTTTATTTTGAATACATTTTTTAATATTTCACCGTCTATAAACCTAAAGCTGACGAGCTAACCTGCAAAATAAGAACAGTGCTGCTCCTTGTACGTCCACGTCACGTGTGTGTGTGTGCGTGTGTACGTGTGTGCGTGTGTGTGTGTGCGTGTGTGTGAGTGTGTGTGTGCGTGCGTGTGGCACCTTTGTGTCTTTTTGATGAATTATTGACCTTTCCCTTCTCCGCCCTCTCTCACAGAGCAGTAATAACCTGAAGAAACAATATTGCCAAACAAATAAAGAGGGAGAATTGAGAGTAAATGAAAGGAATCAAAATGAATTTAGCCTTTAAAAGCCAGGAAGATAAAATTCATGTGAGCCTGCAAAGTTTTTTCATTTCCTCAAACACCAAACTTTGGATTTTGTAGCCGAGATAACTTCTGTTGAACCTTTGTCTTTTGATATTCAATATAAAGTTCAATCGGGATTTAATGGTAACGACCAAACTTCTGAGATCCTGTCTCATAGAGCGGACGCACGGACGAGGTCAAAGCCGCCATGTTGGAGCAGCGGTGGAGTTTTTCAGTCGACAGGACACCAGAACAGAGGACGTCATGCAGCACGGGGCCGGCCTCATCATTGCACTCGTGGCTGTCGAGACACATCAAGAAAAATGGGGCGCTGGAGCTCTGAGTAAAAAAAAAAAAAAGAAGCCATGACACTTGCCGATCCCTCCTGCCGGCATCGAACCGCATCGGCTGGGTCGTCCAGGCTACAAGAGAGATCTCGTTCTTCTGACTCGGACTCCCCTGATCTGCTGTAACCCCAGAGCCGTCAGCGTGGAGGAGACTTGAGATCACTTTAAATCTGTGGACTTTCACAGCTGACGGTTTTATTCAGGTTTCAAAAGTCCAGAGAGAGAGAGAGAGAAGTAGAGCTAAAGAGGTATTCATATTTTATTTTGTGAGACAATTATTTTTGTGTCTTCTTGCAAACAAACAGACAAGAAACAAGAAAAACTAAACCTATTAGAGGGAGTTCATTAAAGAAAACGAAATAAAAGAAGAAAAACAACTTCAGGACAATCAAAACCCTGAGAAAATAAAAACTCAAGAGAACTGCTACTTTTTAAAGCTCAGCCGTATTTAACTGTCATTTTAAGTTGTCGTTAAAAATTGTTTCTTGAAATATTGAATCATGTGACGTCTCTGAGCCTCTAACGAGCAGACATTTGTATGAAGCCATGAGCGACAGAGGTTTGAAACCCTCACAGCCTCACATCATGGACTTCTTCTCTGTCGTTGTAGCGACGGCACCATGTGGTAAAACGTCTGCGATGGGGAAACGTAGGAAATCCAGTCTCCACACCACGGGCTCGGTTAATGAGTCAATAATGAGGTTTTCCTCCTCTCATTTCACACGTGTGAGCTCTCCGCCCACACGCAGACTGAAATAGCTGCCGTCTAATGGTCCTGAGAAGACAAACAACACATCCTGTCGTCTTCTGGTTCTCCTCCGACTGCAAACTGCTAATAAAACCTCCGCTCTCCTCCTGCACCACACCTCGGAGGTCATCGAGGCAGCAAAGGCATATTTATCATTTCAGACGAGTGATAAAGAATCAGCTGCACAGAGAAAGAGTTTTAAAGGCGGCCATTTGGGTTTAATGTCAGTGTGCGTGATCACAGTGACGTCTGCCTCACTGTTTCCTGTGAAGATTCAGGGTTTGTTGGTCTGAATTTGTGGATCGACACGAGTTAGAGTGAAAATACGATCAGGCGAAGAGTCCCAGGCTCGATCCGAGGGGTCGAGAGACGAGGAGAGAAGAAAGACGAGGAAACAAAAGTTCTTGAAGTAAATGGAAACAGGCTTTTCAGACTTTTCTCTAATCTTTGGTGGATGATAAGTATTTAATAATAAACCTTCACCAGCCATCCCGGACTAAATGTACTTATTAGAGAACTGAAGCCGTGAGAATCATTTACGAAAAATGAAATCCGTCACTATGAGGCTGATTCCAACAGGATGTGGCAGCGAATCGTCCCCCAGCCGAGTGTCTCTGCAGCTGCAGGATGATCAGATGAAAACCTGAGGCCGCTGCCAGTCTGACGCTCAACATCTGCCAACATCTGCCCCAGCAACGCTCCCAGGCAGCTGCTGCTGACAAACAGACCTTTCATAAACACAGGTCTGTTTGACTTCGGCTTCATTTTCAGTGCAAACGCTGTTTGAATACGTCTCGTAGGTTTGGAAGATATCGAGACACATTTTGTATATTTTCATTTACTGTGTCACGTTAATCTTGGTCTCAGAGGACAGGAACTATTCTTTATTATAAAATCCAACTGAGGCTTTTTGGGGTATTTTTCTATTCTTAAAATGATTTGACGCAGATTTAACGAGACTTAAGTCCTCATTTAATTCCACGGACTCTAAAATTATGAATATTATTCTCGCCTTCAAGGGCAGAAAGAAAATCAGATGTTGTCACACATGTTCTACCTTCAGAGGGAAACACACAAGTCAGTATAGCAACACTTTTAAAGGCATTTATTGATGAAATACACACTTAAGTTTTGACAAAAGCTTCTGTAGTTTTTGTATGTAAGAAATTCCAGCCCCATTCTAGACCCCAAAACTCCTTGAATTAAATGTGGCAATGGAAACCAGTTCATTACATGTGCAATAAATAACAATAATACAAAATGAGGCGAGGAGAAGGACACCTGAATAAGTGCCTGTTTAACCTGAAAATCAAAAAGAAAAAACAAAAGTCTGTGAAAATGGTCAAAGAAACAAAAACGAAGGAGCGGAGAAAAGAAATCAGAGAGCGACAAGACTAAAGTAAAACCCAGTCGTTTTGTATTTCGGGTGCATTAGTGTATGTTCTGAGATTTCCTGGTCACCCTCAGGACCAGAAGGCATTTAGTGACCTGAGGAACTGACTGGAAAAAAGAAAAATAGCAAAACAAAAACAGAAATATTGGAGTTCGACGCTGAAACCTGGAACCATCTGAGAACCGTATATTGCACATTTTCCTTGCAAATACAATAACCACACTGCCAGATTCACACTGTTTAGTTTGTTTGTTTTTTTAACCTTTTTTTGCACTTGACCTAGAAAAGAACACAACGATGTGTTTGTTGTACATCGACAGAGCATCGCGTGGACACACGGAGAACACAAACAGAAAAAGGAATTCAATTGCAAAATCATAATTTAAGCTATTTTATGCCAGTATCGGTTTCACAAAAAAAAAAAAAAAAAATTTACAACTTGAGCAAATCTCTTTCCAAAAAAATTGAATTAACCAAGAAACTACTGCAGAAGTCACTTATTCAGCATAAATAAATAACAATAATACAAAACTGGACAGATTTATTTATGACATATGGCTCATGGGGGCGTGTCACTGTGAGCTTTGGTGGCTAATGACCAATTTCCCAATTTTATTTGGGGAATCGCTGCGGCCCGAAGTCTCGGTCCAGCACGTTTACACGAATGTTAAGTCAATGTGCTCGTCGCATCGCAGCACCCATGGCGACGCGATTCAGTGCACTTGAGCGCGGTGCTTCTCAGAGTGGAGCAGCTCGGCGCCAACCCGGCAAGACAATCAAACTTTGTTCGTGTCGGTGTCTGAGTGACCCTCGGCCTCCGTCGCACGCACACAGCCTCCGAGATTAATGAGCTTTACTCGGAAATAAGGGAGAAGGAAGGAGCCGGGCAACAAAGACGCCATCACGCTCTCTGCAGCGGAGTAAACACAGAGGAGCCATTTTAAGCTGCCAGGAGTGATTCTGCTCCAGCAAACTTGAAATGAACACTGCTGCCGTCAGAGGGCCGGCCTCTGAGATGTGTCCGAGGTCAGGAGCCACGTGGGACTTGTTTACTCGGCATGAACCACAATCTGCTGGTGCCGACAGAAAGCTCACGTGGCTTCTCCCAGCAGGAGATAACAAACAGGCTGACGGGCGCTCAAGGTCGAAGCGGAGGAGACGAGCACGAGAGCTGGAGCTCTTGACAGCTCCGGGCCTGGCTTCGTGCCGCAGACCTTTCGGAGGCTGACACCGACGTGAATCTGCAGTGAGGCAGAGCTGAGCCTCCTGTAAGCCTCTGAGCTTGGCTGTCAAGCGTAGAGGCAGTGACGACTCAATTCTGGTGCCAATTTCAGAGAAGGAAAAGGAAGGTGAAGGTGAAAGTGAAATTGGAAGATGCAGCCAGTAATATTCACACGCTGGTGGTTGGACGGTCAGAGGGTAGAATCTACACATGATATTATAGTTTGGGACGTTTGAGACTCGCAGGTCCAATTAGAGATTGAAGCAAATCTCAATCTGACTCCGAGGCGCCGTGACGTCACCAGAGGAGCCTCTAATAAGTGTGAGTTGCAGCTCGCACATCCAATTTCTCACCAGTTTTATTTTCACAGCATCAGACCCGTCACAGTCTAGGACCTAAAGTTTGCTGGAGCAAGTCCAGACAAGAGGGGAAAACAAAACCAACAAATCAATGAAAAGATAAAGAGATATAAAAAAAAAAAAAAAAAAAAAAAAGCTGGTGAGATTGAAAAAAGAACGAGATGAAAAGAATTCTGTGAGGAAGCATACTGTATAAAAAAAAGTGCNTTTCTCACCAGTTTTATTTTCACAGCATCAGACCCGTCACAGTCTAGGACCTAAAGTTTGCTGGAGCAAGTCCAGACAAGAGGGGAAAACAAAACAAACAAAACAATGAAAAGATAAAGAGATATAACAAAAAAAAAAAAAAAAGTAAAAGCCAGCAGCTCTCAGCGAGGCAGCTCTGAGAGGAGGAGACACCCGAGGTGACAGGAGAGCAGCAGCACACTGCTCCGCCCGAACCTCTCTCTGAAGGTCGTCAGAGACGAGAGGTTGTTAGCACCAGGGAAAGCACCAGAGACAGAGAGCGCCCCCTCCCCACCCCCGCACCTGTCACATGCATCACAGGGTTCTCGGAACAAAACTCAGAAACAATGGTGAAAGTTTTTTCGTTCACACTGCAGCCGTTTGTGTAGAAACCATCTCAGATGAGAATCTCAGAGAAGCACCAGTCGCTCATTATTCACTTTTCTTTCTTTTCTCTTCACTTTCGAAACTGTTGCAACAAATTTCGATGGTTCCCACGAGTAAATTCACCTTTTTCCAAATAACAACAAACAGAATAAAACGTGAACACCGGTGCAGTGTGAAAGTCACCATGTGAAGCAGAGAGGAATAAAAGATGTGCCGTCTGTGCCGTGTTCTGCATCACAGAGACGTTTTGTGTGTAGTCGTTTTTTTGAAAGTAGCACCGTGTTGTTGTTTTTCTTTACAGCTCAATCACGTGAGGAAAATGTCGATGAAGGGTCGAGAGATTTTGACTTGAACAGACCGAGCGTTTACAGAAGCTGCAGGATGAGTCTGACTGGAGGAGTGACACTAACACGACGGATATGATAACACATCACCTCCTCATGAACCTCAGTGTCTTTGATGGAAATGAACTCCACACTGGCCTCATTTCAAACAGGGGGTTACATTTCGTGTGCTGGGATTTAACACAACACACGTCCATGATCTGACCAAACACGTCAGGCTCATTGTTTTTGGTTTCATCAGGAATCTTAAGAGATTTCACTTGTTTCTAAGCTTCAGATTTGTTGGGTAACGTTGTTTTCTGCAGCAAATTATTCAGTATTTCAGATTTCCACAGGAGGCTGTTTTCATTGCACCTCTTTTTTTAAAACCAAAAACAATGAACAGTTGACGTATTTAACTGGATTAAGAGCATTGAAATATTTAGGTTCCCATCAGAAGTGAAGTGAAACACGCAGACTGGAGGGTTTTGGTAGAGCTGGTTTGGTACCGACCTGTCGGCTATAAAAACGCTGATTTTATACACAAGTCATAGGTCCTGATGCAGCAGGGTTCCTACACATCTTATTCCATTTCCAAATCCAATAAGTGGATTTTAACACAATAGGCGGACGACATAATTTACTCTTCCTGCAAAAAATATATAATTAAAATATTGCAGGTAAATACTGAAGAGTTGTTTTCCAATCTATAACTTCTGACAGTTTTATAATGAACCCTATTCTTCAGGGCTGTTGGAACATGTGGATGAGGAGGAACCCTGCGTGTGAACATATAGAAAACAGCTTGTTGTGGGCAGACACAATGCAGAGGGTAAATAATCGTTATTACATCACTGACCACACGGGTCAGCCAGGTGAGGTAATCATACTTGAGGTCAGACATGGCGTTTTAAGGATCCAGTTGTGTTTAACGTTGAAGACAGTTGAGCAGTTCGCTTTGAACACTGTGAGATTAAGACATTTTCTCATTTGACAGAACATTGGTTTGCAGTCGGACACAGTAGAAAGAACAACCTTAAGACTAGAAACAGACATGTATCAGCACCAAATGACCAAACTGTGGTCATTTTTATTCAGAATTTCAATATCAAAATGTTCAGAAAAACCTCCGTCCCTGTGCGAAACCTGAATTTGCAAGTAGCTTCTCAAAAGATTTGTCCTGTGAAGTCGACGTTATTATTGAACACTGGCTATTCTGCAAAAAATTCCAAGTTTTATATTGATTCATTATCACGCAACTTTCAAAAAAAAATGCTCTTTAACACTGTGTAACTTTGAACATTTGCAACTGGCAGTGAGGAGAAACTGAAATATACCCAAAAAACTGCAGCGGCGTCGTCAGTAATCTGCTCTCATCTTCATCAAGCTGGTCTGAGGTGCTTTTATCGAGTCGTCTATATTTCGCTCTTATGTCAGTTCACTTCCTGTGGGCTAGAAAAATGTCGAAACTTTTTACCAGGGTTTAAAAAGGTGACATGCAACACTATGCAACTTTTAACTGAAGAACAGCAGCAGCATCAAAATGAGTTTGGAGAATGTTTCCTCTTTCATTCACCCTGAACGTCTGTTTTATGTAACTTTAGTGAGTGGGTACGATTTCCTGTGTGCAAAAAACCAAAGCCACTTTCCCATTGGTGAAAAAACCATGAACACCCTCTGACATTTGTCTTCAGGAGGAATGAATATAATCTGCATTTAATCCCGGGTCAAATGACTCAGTAGGTTTTTTTTTTTTATCTCGTCCGGCTGTAATTTTGGTGTCAAAGACGTATATTAGTCGCAACTTCAATTATTAATTCTAATATTAATCAGGTCGAGCAAGTTGAAGAGCAAAGTTAAACTGTAGATCAGTTCAAAAGACTCAGAAGTCATTAAAAAAGCAGAGTTTATCTCCAATGTTCAGCAGGAAACTTTAAAAACATGAAGAATTCTCAACAGAGCAGCAGCTCTCCTGATCCAGGAAGCAGAGGATCATGGGTAATAGCCACAGTTCAGCTTGATAGACTGTTTATTTATCTACGTGCGAATGCAGGGGGCGCTGTTGCTCAGTGAAAGTCTCATAGTGTTGCTTTAAAGTAGTGGTGAATTTTAAACAAACGCTGCAGAAGGAAGTGCATGGTACGAGTGTGCACGCTGCCAACAACAAGAACAACAACATGTGGCTGAATGAGTGTTCGCTGAAAGAGTAGAAACACGAGGACGGATACTCAGGTCTGCGTGCTGCAAAAACCAAATAAGATCTAGAGGAAAAAAAACAGGAAAAGGAACTGTGTCTCTGCCGGACACTTACAGACACCAGTGTGTAGATATCGGTGAGAGAGAATTTGTTGATGACGAACAAATTAACAAACAATAACTCTACAGGAGGCCGGTGAGATGAGGAGCACGGGGGGAGTGGATCTCAAGCTTTCTGCTGATTCGCCCTAAAGTCTCGTAAATCTATGAGAGCACTGTAACACACTTAGACCCCCATGACACACACACACACACACGCAAGCATACACACACACGCACCCACCCACACTGCAAGGGATTTGATATTTGTTTTGTGTCTGTGGCAGACAACATAAAGATGCATTTATATATTTTGATACTGATAGTGAGTCTGTCTTTAAATTCCTCATTTTTAAACCTCTGGACACTTTTCTTTTTATTTGCCCAACATATAGATAGCACTTCTGGGATCCACTCTTTTCTTTTTAACAGTCTAAAGTCTCTCTTACGCTCTTCAATCTCTCTCTCTCTCTCTCTCTCTCTCTCTGTAATGACATTTTATGTACAATATTGGTATATAGAACATAAATTACTACACAACAAAAAATTTTAGCCTATTCACAATTGACAATCATCAAGAACCCATTAGCAAATTAGACAAAGCCAACAAAATGAAATGGAATAAAAAAAAAAGATTCTGAGACAATTTTACTTGAAATCGATGCCTGTTATATATCTTCCATATACTTTCTGTGCTCCCAAGACGAGTCAAGTGTATTGTGACAGGAAATTAAAAAAAAAAGAAACTTTTTTTATATAAAAAAAACGTCCTCCTCTCCTCTCAGTCTTTGTCTCGGGAGGATGAAATTTGCACGAAGCTCAAAAAACACGGTCACGGGATTCCAGACATCTTGTTTGCGTGTAAACAGAGCACCAGTAGTGTCTTGGTTCAATGTGTCTCTTCTGTACAAAAGTATAAATATATGCTTTCTCTCATTTTTTTTTTCTTTTTTCATTTTGTTCACATATCTAGGATGTAGCGGACAAAAAAAATGGTTGTTGTAGTTCCTAAAAACACGTGTGTTGCAGAATCTGTGCTGGAGGTTTCCAGTTTTGTGTTGTGTTTGTTCCCCAACGTTAGCTCCCCATTTGCTGGTTTATGCTGATTTTGTTTTTACTGTCGGGCGTTTGCTTGGTGTTGGTTGATCGTCTTTGCATAAATAAAAAAAAAAAAGTTTCGGCACAGTCTGCAGCCACCGGACCTGAAATTAAAAAAAAAATTTAAAAAAAGGAAAGAAACAACCGTTGTGTCCGTTTTCGCTACAGCAGATCCATCTTGGGTCTGTAATGGAGCAGGAGGGGGGATTTCTGTAAAAACAAAAACACAACCTCAGCAAGAGCAGCTGTTGCGAAAGCCCAGACGGCAAAACTGTGAACACGTGATGACACAAACTTTGTCGTTCTGGAAAGTTACCTTAAATCTCCATCTTGTCACGACGACAAATTTCAAAGTGTGGTCCTTCCCCAAGATTTCCTCATTGCATAAAATGTCCAGCTGTAAAAAAACAAAACAAAAGAGCAAATGACTGAAACATTTCTGAACATCAGGGTCTGAAGTTTTCACAGCAGAGAAACGAGACTCGTGCTGTGACTGAAGCATCTCAACGTCTGTTAAAGTCACGTTTCCAGGCTGCATCTGATCTAAACTTCCAGCTCCTGTCCTCTGCTCCTCTGCTCCCGCCTTTCAGCCTGAGTTATAACATCGCTGAGGGAGGGGAAGCCGACGAGAGCTGATTTTGACGTGGAGTGGCCCCTGGCCCCTGAGCAGCAGTGGGGCTTCTCAGGCGAACACAGAAGTTCAATACCGAACACGGGGGCCGGCTCGGCAAATCTACCTCTCCTCCTGTGAAGTCAACATTGATATTCTGCTGAGCAGCGCCTGGCATCTGCGTCTGCCGATCAATACGGTGAGACAGGCAGGGGGGGGGGGTGAAGGCCTGAGACAAACACTGCCACAGCATCACCTACTGGCTGTCACTGGAAGGACATGTCACCCTTTATCAGCACTGAAACAGCCGCTTTGTGATTAGAAAGATACGAAAACAATCCGGGGGGGGGGGATTTAATCCTGAAAGTCACAGAGAGTGTTTGAGTCCAAATAAAAGAAGAAAAAAAACGTTGACAAACAGTGAAATGGCAAAAAGTAATGTGGCTTCTATAATCTGAAAACACATCATTAATGGTTCCACGTCACAGTAACAATTTACAATCTGAGACAAAGCTAATAAAAAAAAAAAGATCACAGGATCACAGAAAGTTAAGAAACCAAAGTTGATTTTACCATCGACAGTCACTCGGGAAGATTCCGTTGAGCTACATTAGAAGATGTTATTTTGGTAGTTTGGGGCGTTTCTAACATTCACTCATGTATTTATTAATGCGTTCACTTCCTGCTGGAACGTTTAGATGTGTGACAGGATCACAACGACGGGTTCACAGACACAGGAAACGAGTAAATGGCGCAACCGTTCTTTGACAAAGCCACTTATTGTAAAGCTCGGAGCAGAATGGATTTGAACAACAACTTTCGATTGTCAATAGATAGCTCAACAATGGCTGGCGGGGAGAGCGGCCGACTCGCCAAAGTCGTGCGACGGAGGCCGACGATATAATGGAGCCTACCCACTCATCTCTGTGACAGCCAGTGAAACGACAACAAAAAACACAAGAGACGCGAAAAATAGAAAAATAGGAGGAAAGAAGGCGGCTGTGATGAATATTCACAGAATCTTAGAAAAATCCATCTGTCAAATTATCGCCCACCATCCCCCCCTGTTGCTCTGAACACAGCGCAAAGAGGCAATAAATAGAAAAATTGCCACATCTAAATATCACAAGGACGTGATATCTGCAAATTATAACTAACACAAAGGCGAAAAGTATATACGCTGACCATTGTGTAGTCTCTTGTGATTAAATAAAACTTTCTGGTAAACAAGGGGCCAGCTGGTGCTTTTATATGAGTTAAAAAACAAATGCCAAAGAATTAAGAGATTTGTTCCAAATTGCTACAAATCCACTTTGGGGAACAAAGCACTTTCTCTTTTCTTCAACGAGCACGGATCACTGTGTCTACATTACTCGTTAGGCGCGGGAATTAAGATGAATGACAGGAGTGAACCTCTGGCACAGGAAGCTGATTTTGTGGATTATTTCTACGCGTTCGTATCTCGTACAGTTCTTGTCAGAGTTTAAAAATGCAAATGCAGCTTTGAGTAACGTGGCGAACGTTCAGCGTGCGACAGGCAAAGCTGTGGTTTCCCTCTCAGCGCTCGACTTTCTGTCTGTACCTCATTAAACGATGTCAGGTTAAGCTTTTTGGCGATGAACTTCTTGAGGTGCAGGACCGTGGCTTGTGCCGAACAGCGGATCCACTTGCGCTTCAGACCTCGTAGCTTGCTGCTGTTGCACTCCAAGCAGATGCTGACCTGTCGAGAGGAAAACACAAACGTGGAGCAAACGATGAAACAAAACTTATCAGACGGAAAGTACCCGCCCTCTCCTCGAAGCTACGCCCCCAAAACACGTTAAGAAGAGACAGAAAAATGGCGGTGGGTCAATTCAGCCTGACACTGGTGCTGCTCATCTCACTGATCCAGAATTGGCTGTTTGTCTTTGGCTTCTTTCATGTGACCGAGTGTCACCGCCACTGGCCCGTGCACTTGTTTTTCCCCCCCGAGGTGACACGGTAGGTGGTTTTGGCCGCCGGTGGCTGCAGGAGTCAGAATGCATCACTACCACCGAGCCTCTGCCGCACTCTTTTCAAACAGGAAGTGCCAACATTGCTCTGCTTAAACGTGGAACCCATCACTGGTCTTTGATTAAAACTGGCAACGCTGTAACGTGTCTGTTTTTCCACCAGTGCCGGCGATCAGGGAGGCTCATAATGTGGAATAAAAGTCTCAACGGTGATCCGGACTCCGCAGCAGTCTGAGAGGCAGCTTCCTCACAATACAGAACATTAACGACCTCTTTATGTAGCCCAGGAGTCCTGCTAGAGATACACACACTTACAGATGTGACTGATGCAAGAGAGAGGCGTATAAAGACAACATCATATATATGTATATGGCTTTACGGTGCCACACAGAGAGACATTATACACAGGCTCATTACCGAGTCGTGGACGCTTGCGGACGTCTTCTTATTGTGTTACTTTTGTGTTAGTTTTCTGTGAGCAGCAACAGCTCCACTCTCTCCGTGCGAGTGTTGAGTTTGATAAATGAGGCTTTGAACATTTCGAAATGTGATTAATAATTCAGAGCGGAGCCGTGTTCTCCAATTTCTCCTCTTTAGGACCAAAAATAGCCGTGGTTTATCAAATTTACACACAGAGAACATCTCATGAAAATTAGATGAGAGCCTAAATGTGACCCCGCCCTCCGAATTCAGAACTCCGTCCCAAAATAATCACTTCTGAAACTCAGCTATTTCATGCTTTGCTGATGATGTAAATATCTCTGATTGATTGTGGCATTTGTTGTACTTCTGTTCGCTCTTCGTTCACGGCGTGTCACTGCTTTCAATAGCTCTCTGTGCTGCACACCCCAAGGTTACCCCCCCCCCACCCAAAAAAGGAGAGTGTTCTGGAAATCGGTCACGCGTGGCGGTTGGCCTGGCGCTTGTTAAGTCTTCAGTGACACCGTGATGGCAGTGGTGGTGGCGGAGGAGGAGGGGGGAATACTGTCTGCGGCAATTTTGTCCTCGTGCTCCTCTGAACTTTGATTTCTTTGTCTTTTCTTCACCTCTGCTCAAATGTATGTTTCCACTTTAAACCCCTTGATCCCTTTCCCTGAAGCTTCCTCTGCTTTTTCAACACTTTGCCTTTCGCCTGTCCTCAGTTGTCTCTTTACTGTTCAACAGCTATGGACTCGTCGTCCTCCAGCCAACTGTCATTAGACATAGAAGTCAGAAGACATCATGTGTTTAGGTCCGTGCGTACGTTGGTTTGTCACTTTCTTGTAAACACGGTATCTCAGGATTACTCTGATGAAGATAACCTTCAGCGTTAGTTTGGGAATTTAACACTAAATATAGAACCTCTGCAGTTGAAAGAAAAAACAATCTATAGCTACTCTTTGTGCGGTGTACAAACAGTCAAACACATAAGGTTCCCTCGAGACGGACTTTATCCAGTAAATCAGGTATCTTGGGTTCCTGAGCTCTCTCCCTCCTCGATATTCGACACGGCTGTATTCAGCTCACACAGGCGGCCGTATAAGATATTCAGAGTGCATTCTACACCGTCGACTGAATTTCCAAAGGGCAAGATCTTCACCCTCACCAGGGGCAGCCTGTCTTCACCACATGGCAGAGACGAGCTGCTCGATCCGTCACGACTGGATCGTTCTTACGCCTAAAAACAGCAGCTAAAAATGGCACAAGGACACTTTTTCTTCATCCTGTGCAACATTAGGGGAAGACGATTTGTCTTCCTGGTGCCGTCTGTCCTGCACAACAATCAGTCTGGTCCCTCTGCATTATTGATATCATTTTTGCAGTTCTTGAGATTGTGCCAGAATACAAATGAAATCAGGAAATATCCATTTTGAATGCCTGCAGTGGACGGTGGTGCCCGTCACTAAATGAATAAATTCAAATTGAAGAGCCGCAGAAACCAAAGACAAAAGAAGCCGGTAATTGTAAAGCTGGCGAATCACATGGAGGCCACTTTTATAAAAGCAATTATTGAAATGCAGGCTTTTAAAAAAAGGTAATTGTCCCAACAATTATCACCAACAGTATTTTATTCAGTTGTGCTTTTGTTCCTGACAGATCGCTCTGCAACCCATAATTATTTCTAAGTGTTTGCTTCTTCTAAGCTGTTTCAGAAGACAAACTCTTTTTACAAAGCCTGAGCTGTAACACTAAAGCACCAGTTCACCTACACAACATATTCAACATATTCATCTTTGCTGTCCATCACTAACATGACGACTCACCTGCTCGTCGCTACGGTGATAGTCGTTGTCCTCTTCTGGTTTCTCCTCTCCTGCCTCCTTATGGGTGGTGTCCTCTGATTTTGCATCGCCTGTTCAGAAGGAGAGGAAGCATTGAGCGCCATGTTCTCGGTTCTGAATAACAATAAACATCTGCTCCCCAGAGAAGAGGAGAGCAACTGTGAACTGTGAACGTTTCAAAGTCAAAAACTGATGACGAGCATTTCATCGGTGGATGTTTCTTGGACAATTTGTCTCAAACTGTTTATGTTTGTCCTCAGTCCAGCAGCATGTTTCTCTCCTCATGCTCATTAACTGAAGTCAAGAGGCTTGAGCCTAATTGACGTCCACGGTGGCTCTGTTGAAATCAAGACTTGTTGGACGACAGGGAAACAGACACGTTTGTCTCTCTGCAGTTTTTAAACAGCCTGTGCCTGTCGGAATGTAAAAAAGCCACAGAGGTCTATTTATAAGACAATCGCATGTCTGAGGGTGTCAAAACAGCCATTAAATGAATTAGCTGCTGTCTGGGTACGTTTCTAGAATCACAGCGACTTCTAATCAAGAAAAAAACCTTCAGTCATTCTCCACATTGATTAGCCTGTGGGGCATCATCAGCGCTGCCTGAACCGAGCTCCTCTGGTTTAAACACACATTTCTCAGGAAAATGGAGACAGACACTCCGGGCTACTAAAGGTTATTAAGTAAGTAAAGTACGTATGGATGTCAAAACTCTTCAGTGCGTTTCCTAAATTACAATGTGAACCCAAAACTAACAAGAGCGAGTGTAAACAATGGAACAAAGATATGAAACTTCTTTCTCGTATGTGCACATGAACTCTGCGGACAGTCGCCTAAACATCTTTTAAAATACCCCGTAAAAAAAGCTGCTGCTAAATCGTCCAGAGCAGCTGTGGTTCTATATTTCCTTATGGATTCTCTTGTTGGCTGTGATATTGCAGTATTGAATTGTTTCATATAAGACGCAGTTAGCTGCACAGACATGTATTGCTTTTCTGTTACCTTTACAAACAGAGAAATTCAGCTTCTTCTCTGTGGATTCTGTGTGTGTGTGTGTGTGTGTGTGTGTGTGTGTGTGTGTGTAATAACGGACAGTTTACTGCTCAGACTGTAGATGTGATTGTGCTCAACCCTCTGTGACCATTTTCCATTTGGGCTAACTGTCACCAATTCTACAGGGTATTACCGGGAGAGGCCTGAGCTTGCTTCTGTGTCTCTGCAGTGATTGTCTCCAGAGTCAGCTTCTCTGATTGCTTATCGGGGGGGGAGGGGGCCTTGCTCTTATTGTTGTGTCTCACCTTCAAACAACCCCAGAGTATCTCACAGACTCTAAATAGACAAGACGACGGTGGTGGCGGCATCAGGTAATGATGTCGCTTGAGTCCAGGGATTTCTCTTCTTCTTTTTGTTTCATTCGGTTCAACAATCAAGTTTGGGTATAAAACAGTCGACTGTCGGGCGGGTTTGTGATTGATGGGATCTCATATACAATCAAATCGCAAAGGGAAGTACAATAACAATTTCGAGGGAGGCGTCTCTGGGAGTAAAGCATCCATTTGTGTGTGGGAGTTTATATTGTCGCGAAAGAGAAAAGTGCTCTCAGCAGACCCGTCATGGCCTCGTGTTGCTCCATCTTCTTGCAATAAGTGCTCGTGAAAACAAGCAATTTAGAGAAAATGAGTCTTGTGTGCTGACGGAAGTTTTTGTTTCGCTGGTGACGAACGATTCTGATAGGAAAACTGTGTCTGAACTTAAAGAAGAAGTGAATGGAGCTCAGATTTATAATACAATCTCTTCCATTAACGTCAACGTGCTATCATTGGTTGAGTGGTGGGTCTGCAGTGCATACAACGCCGTGTGTTTTTGTCTCTTGAGTTTACACTTTGCTCTCCGGTCGTATCATAGACTCAATAGAAACTTTTTGAACCACTCCTATGGCAGGCCTATGCTGCTTTCCCACAGATTCAAAATGAAAGTAATTGAAATAGTATCTTGCATTCTCCCTCTGACCAGCACCAACATAATAATAAAAAACATGCTGGTCAATGAGCCTCAGAATGACATGGAGCCACGTTAGATTCACATCAGTTTTTCTTTTATAAAAAGTCAAAAAACAATTCCGCTGTAAAACGTTGGTGATATAATATTCCACAGTTCCTGGGTTTCTACCTCTGTTGGCATCAAACGATCTGTGAAATGTGTTTGTGTCCGAACATGAATGTGTGTTTGAGCATATGTGAGTGTGTGTGCGTGTGTCTTTAAACTTTACTTCGAGTGATGAGGCTCAGGAAGCTGGAGAGCATTTCCACTTCCATTTGAGCCTTAATTACCAAAATCAGAGAAGGGGATTAAGCGAGCGATTAGGCCTGCCAGCACGACGGCCCTCTGGGCACACATTCACACCAGCCCTCGGAAGCAAACTGGTTTGGAAAAGCCGTTGTGCACAACAAGCAGCACAGGGGCTCATTCTGACTGGTTAAATTGCCTTCATCTCTACTAAGTAATGCGTTCCACTGTTACTCCTGGTCATGCCTCTAATGTTACTTATTAAGATTTCACAGCTTCATTCCTCATGGAGCACAAGGAGATGAGCAAGACACCTGCATTGCGGAGGTGAAGGCCACAGTGAACCTGGTCTGGAAAACAATTCCAGTTTATTTACAGTAACTGGTCATTGTCTTTGCCCCTTGATGAGAGCTCCTCCCTGACAGTAATGTGCAGTGCCGATCGTACCATTGCGCTGATCTAGATGAGTCTTCATGTTGCAAAGTTCCCCTTTAATGTCTCCAGGCACCTCCATCCCCAACTTCTGATAGAAATCTCTCTGCTTCTTTATCTCCGCTGCAAAACAGGAGAAGAAACAGAAGAAAATAAGACGAGGCGACGCCTGTTTCTCAATGTCACCGCTGTCTCCAGGCTTTTAAGGTTCAATGGATATGTGCGTGTGTGTGTGTGTGTGTGTGTGTGTGTGTGTG